GTAGGACGCAGCCTCCGCGCGAGAATCGCTAACGCGGAATCGCTTCGGGCGACGTACACGTGTACAGACCTCTTAATCAGCATTACATCGCGACGCGATGAGGAGGAGGAGGAGGAGGAGAGAGAAAGAGAGAGATAGATTGATAAAGAAGAGACAAAGAGGGAGAGAAAGCGAGGGAGAGACTGTGTGCTCTCGCGCGATTCTAAATGAGTCATCGCGTTAAACCGTCGACGGCTTCTACAGCCAGGAAGTTAGCGCTATCAGCGGCGTCGACGTTTTCTTTATGCGCAGTTCTGGTTATCAATGGTCAAAATGTTACACGAGGGCGAAGAATAGAATGTATTTATCTCTTTTATCTCTTCTTTCTATCTCTTTGTCTGCCCCATTTATCTCTCTACTTGTCTTTCTACCTGCCTGCATTTTTTCCCTCTGTTACTTCTATTCTTCTCGCATTTTTCTTTTTTTCCCTTTCTTTTTCTTGCCTCCCTTCCGGGAAACCGCGATCGCCGAGGCGCGATAAAGAACGCGAGTACGATTATCGACTCCGCGCTCTTTAATCGGCCCCGAGTCGCATTGCGCGTGGCCGCCGCCGCCGTTGCATTCGCGCTCTGCCGCATTGTGCATCGCACATACGCGCGCGCACGTGCGGATTTTTAAATCTCGTTACTGCTATATTTGCGTCCTACAACGTATTAGAGGCACGCGAGCGTCGTTGTAATACGTCACGGAAACTTAACGATTGGCGTCGATTGGAAGCCAAGGAAATTGCGAGACGAAAGAATTCTAAAGAGCAAAAAAAAAGTCACCCGCATGACGTAATTATAATTGCTAAGTTGTCATCGATTTTCTGCAGTCCCTCCCCTTTCTCCCCTCTTTCTCAATTGATATTCCGTGATAGATGGATTTTGGACTCATTAGCGTAAAAACATTTAGTTTTCAGAGAAATCTGTAACTATCGGTGACCATTGATTTGAAAGCGTAGATTATATAAATATTTTCTTAGAAAAAGATACGACGATAATTTCTGAAGTAATGAGAAACTTTATGTTTATACAAATCACATCATGTTGATAGTAATAGACGTCATGTTGATCACACAAAATTTGACTTTCTCCGCCGATCTGATTTTTATGTCAATATTGAGTCAGAATCTTTAGACTCAGACACACTGAACAGAAATCAAGAATAAAGACTTAAATATAAAGAATTAAAAATGGAAAATTTTTTTCGACTAACAGAACACTTTGATATTTATCGACTGAAGCATGATTTCCTATAAGTCGAAATTCCTCGTTCAAAAAATTCTATTTTTAGTCCTTTGCTCTTTATCTATTTCGTTGTATCTCTGGTCCTTTAATCTACAAGCCGTCACTTTGCCCTTCCAGACGAGGTCTGACTCCACCACACAGGGTAAAGTCTATATCCATGGCGACGTTCACTCAAGACGAGATAGACTTCATAAAGGAGCACGGCAACGAATATTGCAGGCGAATATGGCTCGGCCTCATGAATGCCAACTCCCCGCAGAATTTCGACACTAAGGATGAGCAGAAGATGAAGGACCTGATGAGCGCTAAATACGAACTGAAGAGATACTACCTGGATCCGTCGATCGCTAATCAGAACACAGTCGCACAACCGAAGTCGCAGTCAACGAGCAACATTCCAAGGGTACCGAATTCGAGCACGTCCACGACGCTGCCCACGCCGGTCAGTCAAAAGTCGGAATCGGCAAGTAACGCGAACAACTTCTCGACGGACTTCGTTGCCGACTTCAGTAAAGTTCCTGATCCCTTCTGCCCGGCGACGACAGCGCCGGCGGGCCAGTTCGGCCAGCAGCCGATCGCGCCACAACCGTTCTTCGCAAACTTTGACAATAATCCGGTCTTCAACAATGCAAAGAGTGAGTAGCGATACTTGACGTACCTCTCTCTTTCTCCGTTCCTATGTCAGAATAACGAAATACCGATCAGGACAACACTTGTCTTATAATGAACAATTTTATTATTGAGGTATGGAAACGTCCGCACTGTTTAATCAGGTCGGTGGAAATGGCACGATGAATATGAATAGAGCACATGCGCCACCGTCGGAGGATCGTTACGCGGCACTCAAAGACTTAGACTCGCTGATGAAGCAAACGCAATTGAAGGAAGAGCCTACTAGCACATTATCCGCGTCTACATGGAATGCAAATAATTCGAACGGTGAATATCTCTTGTAGATTACAGATCATATCTAGCGTACAAAGTGTAAATTATTTGCATGCTTGTCGGATTAGTGTAGGATGCACAAAAGTATACAAAGCTTTCAATTGCAGCACCAAACGCTACGTGGAGTATAGGAGTGAATAATCAAACGCACGTCATCTCAAATCCGTTTACGGGTGATTTATGGCGGCCGTCTGCAAACGTGATCAACAATAATACTCAATCCGTCGATAGCTCTCTGTATAATCCCGCGAATCCGTTCAAACCCCAATTTCCTGTAAATAACGGTAAGATATAAGAATCATGTCCTTATGTTAAGATTCTTAAAAAATATAATTGCTATGTTGAATGTAATATCCATAATGTATAATTTTCATATATACTTGTATCTTTAACTTATAAAAATAACAAGATAATTCATAAATTTGAGATTTGAATATATTATATCTTTCGTCATACTTTAGTACCTAGTAGTTACTTCGGTAACTTTAGTTTGCCATAGCACTTAATCTGATATTGGAACAATTTTTAGATTCACAATGGATAGGTATCGGTGCATCTAGTAATGGAGATGTACTCCAATTGAGTCAACTCATGACGCCATTAGCGAACAAAGTATGGCAACCGACGGTACCAGCATATCACGCAAATCCATTTATGGTAAATCATAATTCTATCTATTAAATTTTCATACTAAATTGGAAAGATATTTTCGCTCGACATGTTCGTTCATTCGGTTTAATTGTTATTACAGGTAGGCACAGGAGTGAGTAACATGACAAGAAATTCGAACAATCCCTTCTTATGATTATGTACACGTAAGATTTTAATGGAGTTACGAACAAATAATGCGAATTAAAATATATTTAGATTAGGCAAATTGTTATATACGTGATCTTATTGGCAATTAGTGCCATTAACTTTTATCCAGGAGAGCACCAATCTCATATCTATAAATGAAAAGAAATAATACTTTTATTTATGAATATAGTATACACGTTAATAAAGATTAATATTTGTTACTAATCATGAATATTACTTGGCAATACTTCCAATTTTTTTTTTGCGATGCAGATTTTTAAGATTTTCGATATTTTATTTATTCAAAGAATGTATTTTAAAAAATAATTCTGCGATACAGCAGTGTTTAAATAAAAATGAAATGCTTTATCTATGCAGCAGCAATTTTAAACATGTATGTATCTGTATTACAATTATTATTGAAACAGACAAAGGAAATAAGTCGAGAGAACATATTATGTCTTATGCACACTTAAATACAGTTTATTTACTTAAAAACTTCTAATATAAATACAAAATCACAAATGAACACTTAGTCTTTGTTATAATTCAATACCAATAGCTCTAGAGTAGAGATCCACTTAATCGTTCATAATTGCATGATAATTAATTTTTTATTACTTGATTCATTACACTTGCAGTCTATATTATATGCAGTTGTAATAATATATTATTAATCGTAATAACAGTCGGTTCGCGTTTTACAATTACATATGAATATAAAGATAAGCCTTGTGTTGTCAATTAATTTCACGTAGCTGCCGTATTAAATGTTTGTTCGTTTGCTGAGTAATCTGGAAGCTCCGAGGAGTGTAATACGATTCACTTAGAGTAATAAATTATACTTCACTGTGTAAAATGGAGAAAAACAATCGAGAAACACTAATATACGAGTAGACCAATTATATTAATTGTTATTGTATAAACGTACGAGATGTGTGATATTGATATTACTAGGCAGGCGTCACGTATCTTAGCGATACATTTGAAAGCGCATGGACTGTTTTTTCTTCATGGCACGAATTCATCTAGCAACCGTTGCTACTGGCATTGCCTTTTGGTAGTGGGCGCACCAAATACAGCTTCTCGCCCTGCTTATTGGTGTAAATTGGAGCCCTCTGATAATGATCTACGAGTTGATCTAGCGTGTGGAACTTCCTCTGACCGATGCAGTATAATGCACCTTCCACATGTACCCTAAAGTGCTTGTTACGTCCCGGTGCTTTCAAGGATACCGAATAATCGCCCATCTAAAAATTAAAAATAATTGGAACGATGAATAACGACGGCAGATTATTCCTGTACATTATACTTGTTTTAACGATAGTATTTATTGACAGTATTTATCAAGGATTTATTGAACAAGTAAATTTTTAATCTTGAAGTCAAATCTTGAAAAACTATATTGAAATTATTTAGATAAGCAAGAGGATGACACAGAAATTTTCAAATGCAAAGTTTCGACTGAAGAATAACCGACTACATTACACCGAACACAACAATGTACTCTACTGTACTTACGTTGGTTTCGCTATCCCTGATTAGGAAATCTCCGTCGTGGCCGTGTTGATTGAGCAGCGTGTCGCATTGTGAGCGCGTAATACTACCGTAGTACCAAGGCTTGCCGACGAGATGCGGCCGATCACCGGGGTCTGGCCTTCGTTCGAGAGAATCTCCCTGGCTGATTTCACTACTTGTCATACCACGTTCGCGGTATGGTTGCGTCAAATATTCGCTGAGCTCCTGAAGATAATTGCGCGGCACCAACCCGACCTGTCCCTGGCTATTTCTCGCTTTATACCATTCGGGATCTGCTGGTGGACGGTCGAGGATCTCGAGGCGGTCGCCCTTCTCGAACGATAGCTCCTGGTCATTGTTGGACGAGAATGAGTAGAGAGCTACCACGATGTCGAGCACATTCTCGGCCATCGCGTACGTGTGCAGCGTATCGTCGGCATCGCCTTCCTCCTGGGTGTAATTAGAGGGGAACCAACCGGCCTGAGTGCCACTCTGGCCTCGCCACCAGCCGTCATTGCTCTTCTCGAGTATCAGGATCCTAGTGCCCTTCACGAGGGACAACTCATCCGCCTGCTGAGCCTGATAATTATACTTGACGACCGCCGTGCCGATCGCCTCGCTCGGATCAGCCGGTAGACGTCGCGCCATGATCGGGGACTCAACCGCCCGGGACGGCGAGTTACTGGATGGCAAGGTCTTAGAACCGGAGCCCTTCTTGACCTTCTTTTTAATACTATCGAACAGCGAAGGCTTCTCCTTCTTAACATAATTGCTCGGCACATAGCCTGCCTGTCCTCTCGCGCTTTGCACTCGCCACCAATGCTTCGAATCGTCCAGTAACAGATAGCGATCGTTCTTACGTAAATCTAGTTCCTGGGCGCCCTGAGCCCCATAGTCATATTTGGCGACAACGTAACATACGTCGTCTTGACTCGTCTTGCCTGAAATATATATCACAGCTATTACCATTGCACATATCGATACGAAGATGCATGAGAAACGATTACGTTACACAACTACATTTCTCTTTTGTTAACGTTAATTTAACGACCGTTTAGTTATATATGATACATGATATTTACTACAAACACTTCGCTAGAAATCATCAGTTATTAACTTCCATTCTTGATTTTTAACTATGAATATTAAGAGTAATTAACACGTACAACTTGACAAAATTATAACAAGATCATCAGGTTCTTACGCTGTTTTCTCGACAATAGAACATACAAAACTAAACTTACTAATCTTAATCATCACACAAAAGTTATTCTATCTATTCTGTTCAAAAAAAATATGTACTTTACAAATTCACACAACAAATGTCACAGTCAATACGAAATCAATCATTAATATGCAGCTACCCATTTTGAGATTGAAAAGGAAATATGAAATATAAAAATTAAAAAATCTTGATATTTTCAGAGAAATCGACACAGATACAGTAAATTTACAAAATACACTCGAGATAATAAAATATGTAGAGACCTGATGAGAGCGTCGTCGATACGCGAATCAAAAAAGAAATTTACATACAAAGCAAAGCGTACGAAAAAAAAAATAAAACGTACCATGCTTCATGGCTGCCATGTGCGTAAGAATAAATACATATATATATATATATGACGATATATATGTATTTAGAGATTTGTATGTACAGCTGAGTGTGTGGCGTGAACAGCCGCTACTCACGTACTACTTCAACAAATACTTAAGTCTGCTTGTACAGAGTCGACGGCGTGAGTGCAGCAGGCATTCATTATTTAGTTTTTTCGCTTTATTTTTTTTTTATTAATCTATTTTATTTTTTATTATTGCTCAGTGCTGAGATGCACCTGCTGATTTCTTTGGTCAGAATCCATCGTTCTCAAGGGTAGCGCAAGCAAGTGCATTACCAACACTTTGGGGGGAAAACAAAATAACGATCATTAGCACAAGATCATCAGATAGAACTTCATTTTTATCATATAATACTTAGAAAACTATACGCGCGTCGTAGAGCGGGTCATCCAATCTCGGAAAGACATTTGCGACTTTCAGAGAACTAAAAGAAGAGAGTCTAATGATGCGTAAGGTGCTACTATTAATCAACAAAATTATTTTTAAATCTGAGAATTTAGAATTATATAAAAGAATTTCGACAAATTTCCACACATATTATAGCAGGAATAAAACAATACAAATTGTTAATGACCCATTCTACACGTACTCATTTACTCGTCTAATGTCTATTTCTACGAAGTGTAGAGTAATCTCTGATCTCAAACTACTCTATATCTTTTTCTAATTTTAAAAATTAAAAGTTTTTTAAAAGTTTGAAAAAGATAAGGAATAGGTTTAATTGATGTTAAAGTTACCCCCACACTGGTAGAGGTGGAAACCTTCACTTTTCTATAGTCATGCAGTACCCCGATAGGCAAATTGTGCAAACTTTACATAAAGATGGTATCATAAATTAACAAATGAGATTGTAGATATATTGTTATTGCCAAAATATTATGCTGAAATTAAACTATCGATATTTCTACATGTATTTCCTTCTCAGATATCCACATAATCACAGATGACAAAAGTTCAAGGATCCATCATGTAACTTCATAAATATTTTCCTATCGGGGTTTACTCTATAATCCAAATAACGACACTGTGTGTCGGGAGAAATAACACCGCTACAACAGATAATCGTTTCGACTCCTGCAAGCAAATCAAACCGATGATTAATAACGTTATAAGCCACGTTGGAAACTGCTATAAGCGGCATATAAATCAACGACCGTCGCACCGCCTATTATATTACTTGGACTGAGCGACGGTTATGCTAATATAATAATAATACTTCTATAGACAGCACATAATTTATCACAGTACTATAATACAAATATGTATACATGCAGTAGACGACGCTATGTAAGCCAATAAATATAATCGGTACTAAAAATTAATACATAACTAACTCGACAGGAAAAAAAAAGTTTCTATCAGTCTAAAAATTTAAAAACCGAATTCGTAATTAAGTAAGCCTCTAAAGAAAATGCGTTTTATTAAAGAAAACTCTACTTATATATGACAATATGACATATGATTTTCCCAACTTTTCTGTTCTTTCTATCCCTTTGCAATTCTAAGAGGAAGGAGAACCCCGGGGATGACTCAAAGTAGAATGGAGCAAGGCACTTTGCTCGTCGTGATCTCGCCCCATCTCGTCACCCCCGAGTTCTCTGCTTCCGCTTGTGACGCACAAGCGGCTAATGCTCTCTAACGAGAAGCGGTGAGAAGCATTCGCGGAAGCATTCGCGGCGTCGGAGCACGAGGATCGTCCGGCGTGTCGCATCCGCGCGAGCTGTCGTCGGTCGATCCACGATCCGCCGACCGGAGACGCCGGCGGGTCGGAAAACGATCGGCGAGGCGTCGCCGATGGGAAATCGAGCAATCGAAGCGATACTGACTCTACCATGACTACCATGAGCGACCACGGCTGTCCGACGGCTCGTCTGCTTCTCTTTCTTCTTTTTACCCTCTCTTTCTCTCTTTTTTTCTCGCGGAAGAGAAACAGCCGAGCGACACAACCTACGCGCTACGAATCGTGCGAGAAGCGCAAGAAGCGGACGGGCGGATGGCTGGATGGATGGATGGATGGATGAACGGACGGATGAGCAGATAGACAGACGATGGACGGATGAACGGACAGACGGACGAACGGACAGATACATAGACGCGCGCGCCGGCTAACCGTGCGTTAGACTTACCGATTTTTAAACTTGACATATTCCTGCATAAAGAGCTTTTGGGATCTTACGTCGTTACACGGCTTGTTTTCCCCCACCCCGAGCCGCAGCCATGAACGACTGGAGCGTACCTACGTGCCGGGGGGGCTCGTGCGTGCTGTCTCCCTATCTTTCTCTCTCTCTCCCTTATGTCTCCTTGGCTTTCTTCCTTCCTCTTTCTCTCTCTCTCTCTCTCTCTCTTCTTTTCTCTTCCCTTGTACAAACCGATGGGAGCGGGGAATCAGGGAAGAAGCGTGCGAAGAGCGCCGCGTTCCATCCGCTTTCGATCGTCGTTGTCGTCGTAACCGCCGGATCGAGGGCCAGGCGACCGGGCGATTCCTTACGGAGCCGCCCTTCCTCCACGTAACTTGCCACACGAGAACGACGACTCGAAACGATGCTCACGGCGCCGATTCGCCACACGTACGCGGCCGCCGCTCGTACGCGACCCCTCCCGCACGAAAAACAGACCCACCCTTAGGCCGGAGATACACCGACGATATCGGGTGAAAGTAACAATCCCTCGCGCCCCTCGATCCCCGGCTGAGTCAGTCGCGCGGAGGATCGACCGTCGCGCTACATCGCGACGAACAGTCAAACTTCCGGTGCGCGTCTACGTTCATGTGAACTCGCAATATGTAAATTTGGGGAAATTATCGCGATACATTCGGGATATCAAGATTTCCCTTCCACGTGCTCATGGATTATTTGAAATTGTTATAATTATTGCGATTTTATTAATTATTATTTATTATTATTATTACAATTTGTTACAATTATTGAAATTTTATCAATTATTATTTATTATTATTACGATAGCAAAGGGTTTTAATTGCTCTGAGAATGTTCGATAACATTATATAATTTGCTTTGAATGACCAAACTGATCATATTTAAATGTCTAGATCTTATTTAAGCTAGATGCTCAATATTTATAAGTCTGTTTTTTGTGAAGTTTAACGAAAGCAAAAAAATTTTAACGTATTTTAGATCACTCATTTTTAGCACCAAAATAAGACACGTGATCAAACTTGACGCAGAATAATGAAATTTGAATAATCATTTTTGATCACGTGACCTATTTTGACGCTAAGTGAGCGATACATGAAACCTTTAATGCAGTCGAGTAACAAAAAATAAATTTTAAGGTACATATCGAAAATATTATTACGTAAAAATTATTTTTTAATAAGGAAATTTATTTATTTATTAATGGAAAGTGTAATATAATGTAACCATAAATATAAATCCGTTGTATTCAATTATATATGGCTCAGCGTTTTCAAGCACGAAAATGAAGCGTGAGGCTGGTGTCCCATGGCGCGGAAATCTATAGCGGAACGGAATGCGCGAACTAATCACAGCAAAAGAACGAATAAAATGAACGAGTTTTCTTTTGGTTCTTTCGATGAGACACCAGCCTTAAATGAACAGATCTAAGATCTTTCACTTAAAAATGGACCCTTACAAATCGAATATGTCGCGTCTCTAGATATTTTTGACATTCTAGGACCGTTCGCTTCGCGTGGTTGCCAGCACCGATCGGCGCTGCCACGAAATAATAAATTTGAATTTGTAACGTATCGCTCAATGTTTTTCACCTGTGCTCTCATTTTTCGTCTGACAGCGTCTGACAGCTTTCTCTTCCAGGATGGTCAATATGACTGATATTCTGACAAGGGATAGAAAAGGTAACAATGTCGGCGATCGCTCTTTCAGCGTGCCGATTAATAATAATAGGTACATATAATAGGTACATAATAATAGGTACATCACTTTTTCGTCTGTGACTGCATTACGAATTTCTGTCATTTTATTCGACATCTCGTCGAAGTTAAAAGCGTCGATAGTTAAACAAATCATAAATAACTTATTAATTTACACATATGCACGTATAATTGCATTACTAATTTTGCACGTGCGTGTATTGTATGCGCAACATGAGAGAGTCTGAAAGTGACAGAGAATAAATAATAGAAAAAAAAAGAAATATTTATTAGAGTAAATATCTGTGACATTGGTTGAGTTCTGATATTCACTGAAAATCCAGTACTGAAAATCTATGATTTATATGATACAAATTATATATTTCTAGTACTAATGACGAATATTACAATATTAGCTATTGATATTATGGAATAGAAAAGTTTATACTTTTCTATTTATAATATACTTGAATGAAAAATACATATATATTTTTTAAATATTCTAAATTAATGGCTTTTAGAGGATATTAAAATATCTGCAAAGGATATGGATGAAGAACGCAAGAGAGATTTGTCATATCAGTATCTCTGTCATTTGGAAGAAGCTAAGAAGTAAAATATATAATGGATAAATCTTATAATATATTTTATTATATTTTTCAGACCAAAGTTATTAGTCTTTATTCTTTTATAGATGGATGGAAGCCTGCTTGAGAGAGTCGTTACCTCTATCAACAGAGCTGGAAGAGAATCTTCGCAATGGTGTATATTTGGCCAAACTTGGACACTTCATGGCACCTAATATTTTACCATTTAATAAAATCTATGATTCTGAACAACGTAGGTACAAGGCTGCAGGATTGCAATTCCGTCATACCGATAATATAAACTATTTTCTGAAATGCTTGGAATCTGCACAATTGCCATTGGTATGTACAAAGTAATTTTAATGTAGCTTTAACAGAATATATTGTTGATGCAATACATAAAAGCATATTTATAAGAATTGTTCTTTACAGACATTTTTGCCAGAAACGACAGATATATATGACAAGAAAAATATGCCACGATTGATATATTGCATCCATGCTCTCAGCAAGCATTTATTCAAATATGGAAAAGCACCACCAATGCCTGATTTATATGGAAAAGTTAATTTTTCTGGTATGTTTTTTTATGCTATCTAGAAAATATACTACTAAATAAGATATATTTTAGATAAAATGATCATTATAGAATGCATTTTTTAAATATCTTTGGTTCTTGAAAGATACAGAGATATTTATTATATTCTTATATTGTCCCATTCTTTTACAGAGGAAGAGATCGATGCCATTAGTAAAGAATTACAGGAACATGCCATCCAAATGCCTGCTTTTCAAAAAATAGGTGGTTTGTTGACAAATAGTATTGCTATAGATACAGCCACTCTTCATGCCGCTGTGGTTGCAATTAATCAAGCTATAATAGATAATGTATGTTTATTTCGAAACTGTAGAAAACGGTTTTATTGCATAGCAATATTAACTATGTGTGCTTTCAGGACAATGATAAAATTTTACAAAAACTTCGAAATAAAGAAATGCAATTAAGTAACGTTAAGTCTTCATATATAGAGAAGTATGCCAAGGCATTATCGGAAGCTAAAGCTGCAAAAGTAGAGGCAGCGCTTAACAAGGTATTTGACTTATCATAATTTCTTATATCTAATTTCTACCTATCGTAATTTCTTATATATCTAGATATATTTTCATTGATTTTTCAATTTATACAATGTTGTTCAGTCCCTCAATGATAGTTACGTAGTGGATGTGTACGATGAATTATTAACACAAGCAGAAATACAGGGACATATTAATTATGTAAATGGTAAATATTATAAAATTTATTTAGATGATTTTTATAAATCTAGTTTAATTTGCTGTAATAAAATACTATATGAAATATATGTTTTAGCTTCTTGTGCATTGGAAATTATTGTTTCATCTTTATCACATGATGACGCTGAATTAATAACAGTTTTAAAAGTGCCAACATTATCTTTCAAGGTATAGCCAAAATTATTTATAATTCAACGATTATTTACTAAATTTTTGATTGTAATATACATTCTTCCATAGAATATACTTTCTGAGAATGTTAAAGATTACAAGGAACAATTGACGCTGATGTTGGATAAATTTGAATGGAATGACATGTATCCATCTGAAAGCATTCAATACTGGACAGATATATTTCAAAAAGCGATTGACAAAGGAAACGAAAATGCACAACGACGTCGCAAACGTTAGTGTTATTCAGAGAGTTAAATATTTTAATATAAATATCATCGAATTATAATGCCAATCTGTTACAGGAGAGGAAATCGTAAAATGTCTAAATATAGCTTTAGAATCTGCAGATAAAAAAAGTTTTATGAAATTTTACAAAACCCTTATCTAGAAATCTCTCACTATATCGATGAATTTGCAGTTCCATTGTATTATCAAGAGATGAAGGAAGATCATATAGATTCTGAGGTAAGATCATGTATGCCGCACGTTCTTTATTATACAAAAATACATAAAATTTTAATTTATATGTACAATTGTATGGAAACAGCTATGACATTTTGGCTTTTGACAGAAAAGTAGAAAAAAAAGTATAGCTATTTCTACATAATATAAAATAAAATTCTACATATATAGACAACTTCTTTTTTACTGCATCGATTTCTTCTAGTTAATGTCTCGATTTCTCAATTAACTGTTTTTTGGATAGATTAATATTACTTATGAAGACATAATAGTTTGCATCCCTGTCTTATCTATCATTGCTGCTATCACCAAAGCGGTGGACACAGGAAATCCAGATTTCATATATGAAAAGCTGTCGAATCCTAATGCACGTTTAAGTGTAGGTATAACAATGATCTGCGATTATTTCTTCATTGATATAGAGGCAAATTATTTTAATATATTATCATAATCATCATAGGGATTAGATGAATATAACAAAGTGAAGTATGCTCGAGCATTGATGATGGCTCGACAAACAAAGCTAAAAGTGTCCCAAGAATGCTCTCTGTTAACTTATAGCGACATTCAAGAATGCATTGATTCGGTGAACGCACAATGTGACGAAGGTTTTGAAGGTAAAAAAAAAAATAATTGTTTATATCACATGTTGTTGAATTAATATTAATGAACTTTCTTTAAACAGTTATAGAGATTTTGCAGCAGATTAATCGAGCTGTAGCGACAAATGATTATGACAGTATGATGAAAGCTTTAAAAACAATTACCGCGAAATTTGATATACCTACATATCCATATGACGCAGAGTTTTATTTACAATTATTCAAAAAACGTTTACTTGAGAAAGACTCTGATGGATCTGAATTATGGTTGGACGATGTCAAAACCGTAGCGAAGACAGTGACATCAGAGCTCGAGGAAATCCAAGAAAGTGCGTCATCATTCCCACTCTTAAATACATTTTCCATTGTTTTCATTGAATCTACTGAATTAGATAAAAATTTAAATTATCTTAATCTACTTGCGTTACAGCGATATTATTTCTGTGCGATATCAACACGTATATAGAGAACGATAATATGATAGAAGTTCTCAACTGTTTGGAAACGCTCAATATATTTAAAAAATGTAAAGGATTTACTAAAGAATGTCAAGAGAGATGTTTTCTAGAATTACGGAAGTTACAGAGACAGAAGGTAAGGCACTTTTATAGAGAACAAAATATATGTTTTATATAATTTACATAATTTATTTATTAATTTATATAATTTATTTATTAATTTAACATTTCATTTCTGACGTAGCGCAAAATATATAATTGTCCATATATTTGCTATACTAGTAACGAAGGAAATAAAATTTATATCGACTTGAAAGCTGGAAAATATACGTGGCAACGACCGGTATATTTTAACAAAACTTGCTATCTCACTATAGATGATATAAACGTATGTATTTTTCTCAGAATTTTATATCTGAATAAAAGGCTTGCATTTCTAATATTTCTCGTTTTATTCAAAGGAAACAATTAGATCTGTCATAGCAGAGAAACGGGAAGAAGATTATATGATATATGATCAAAAAGTACTTACTAAATTTCAAGCATATATTAGAGGATATTTATTGCGTAAAAGAATTGCTGATAAATATGCTTATTTCAATAATAATCTAAGAAAAATTATTATGATACAAGCATGGTGGAGAGGCATCAGGCAACGTAAAAAATATCGCAAGTTATTGGAAAAGAAAAACAAATGTTGGTACATCAGAAAAAATTTTTACACAACAAAACATATAAGAATAACAGATCGTGTCAGAATAAATTACTAAATACAAAAACACACGACAGAAATGATAAATTAAGTCGATATAAAAGACACGTAAGTGCGAATTTTTGAATATTTCAACACATGTATTTTTTATCAATTTTTTTATAAAATACTGTTTGTACTGTTTGTTTATGAAGGAAGATAAAATAATCAAGTTACAAGCTCTATGGCGGGGTCGTGCATCGAGGAAAGCTTTTCGTTCCCTGTTGCACTCGGAGAAACCGTCGTTTCCTGTGGTTAGATATTTTTCAACGTTGTTAGGTTTCAGCGCGGAGGATTATGACAAGGACTTGGAATTACAAGTATGATAATTTGTATTGAGTGCACATATTTCTGTTTCATTCAAAATTTTATTCTTATGATTGTTTTAGAAATTAAAACACGAAGTTGTTCAATGTATAAAGCATAATCAAAATCTGTCGGAGCAATTGAACAACATGTTCATTAAAATAGGACTGCTGATCCAAAATAGAATAGCATTACAAGTATGTCTCTAAAGTTCAATTACAGATCGGAAGTTTGCCAAAAATATCTCATGCTTTTTCGTAGGATGTAGTGGCGCATGGGAAAAGTCTGGATACTCTTGCGAAGGAGAAGAATGCGAACAAGGACCAAAATGTCTTGAGCGATATCACTGCGACGGCATACAAAGGTCTCAAATCATTAACGAGGGAAGGTCGTAGAATGTTAGAGGGCTATCAACATCTGTTCTATGCTTTACAGACAAATCCACAATATTTGTCTAAATTGTTATACTTGCCTCCTAGTAACAAATCGAACAAATTGTTCCTGAAGAATATTATTCTGACGCTATTTAATTTCGGGTCAAATACACGGGAAGACTATCTACTGTTGAAGCTCTTTGGTTGCGCGTTGAGAGAAGAGATTAAGTGCAATTGTCATCAGCCCTCCGATGTGTTAACCGGCAAGCCTTTAGTTCGCGAAATGGTGGTCAATTACGCGAAACAATACAATAGTCAGACATCGTTGAAGCAGATCGTAGGCCCATTGATCGAAAAAGTGCTGGAGGAAAAGGATCTGTGTATAGAAACAAATCCGGTAGACATATATAAATTTTGGCGAAATAAGCTAGAAATGGAATGCGGCCAGTCTTTGGATATGCCACACGCGGTATCTCAGGAGCAAGCACTGAAACACATCCCAGTACAGGAATCGCTCACGAGAGCGATAAATCAATTGAAAAAGATATCCCTCGAGTTTCTAGACAGAATAACGCAATCCCGTGATCTCATCCCTTATGGGATGCTGTATGTCTCGAAGGTGCTGTACAACACACTGATGGAAAAATTTCCGCATGCTCCCGAGAAAGATATTTTAAAGGCGGTCGGCAATTTGATATACTATCATTTTATCAACGCCGCGATTGTAGCACCAGACACCTTTGATATCGTCACATTACCGGTTGACAGAACATTGTCCTCCTGCCAAAGGAAGAATCTAGCGAGTATAGCCAAAGTACTTCAATTCTCTACCTCGAAAAAAGGTTTCGGCGAAGAGGCACCACATTTGGAATGTTTGAATCAATTCATAATTGCCTGTCATGAGAAGTTCAAGAATTTCTTCCGGTATTGTTGTCAAGTGGAGAATCTCGAGGAACATTTCAATATTCACGAATATACGGAGGCAACGCTCATACAAAATCCGGAGATATGTATATCCTTGCAGGAAATATGCGAGATGCATGCTTTAATGTTAAACTATGAGGATCAGATAGCGCCGGATCCCTCCGATCCTCTGCACGATCTGTTGGACGATTTGGGCCCGGCGCCGACCGTGGCATCGTTGCTCGGAATATCTAAAACGATGTACGAGGCAAATTTGGCACGATACAGCAAGCAGGAGGTGTGCTTGGTATTGGCCAACAAATTCCAGGTGCCGCGGGACGATGATACGAATCTGAGCAACCTTTTTGTGAAGGCGAAAGAATTACTTGTGTCAGTTATTCCGTTCTTGAAGAAGCCAACTCTAGTGGAGTCCTTGGAAACCACGTCCTCTCCGATGTGTGTGAAATTGTTCGACTACTCGTCCATGTCGCCAACGATTCGCGAAAGTTCGTCTATAAACGACTGCAAGATGCAGTTGCGCGCGTATCTCAATAAGCTTGAACTCGAGGGATGGGTAAGTCGCGCGGATGGTTATCAAACGATCGTGACCGCGATAGCGAGAGACATTTGTAACAAGAGCAAATATCGGCTTGCGAGAGACAAGGAGTTGCAGACGCTGCGGACGACAAAGGTGCGATTAGACGAAAAGACACGGTACTACCAGGAGCAAGTCGAATTCTACAATGAGTACATAAAGGGTTGCCTGCAGAATTTGCATAATGGCAAAAGTTCGCTCCGTGCGTATCAGGCAACGCAGAAGGACGCGTACACACAGTGCAAGCTGAGATCCAAGATGACTGTGAAATATTCCGCGTGGAAGTTGCACGAGAAAGGTATACTGATGGAGGTCGATCAAGCATTAAGCCCGACGGAGATGAAGAACGTGATCTTCGAAATCAGCCCGACAGAGCACAGCGGTGTCTTCACCGTGCGTTGTAAGTTCATGGGTGTCGAATTGGAGAAGATCGACATCAGCATACAAGAGCTACTTGAGCTGCAATACGAGGGTAGACCATGCATGGATATGTTCGGTAGAGCGAAGGTCAACGTGAACCTGCTCCTGTACTTATTGAATCGAAAATTCTACGGCAAAAAGAGCTGAAGGGATCATATTCTTTCTGACTGAATTCCGGAACAATAAGATCGATTTACGCATGTTACATGTGCAATTTATTGTTAACACAATATGTTCCGAGCAAAAAGGTTTAATCGATATTTTATCACTGCGACAAATATTGATGATTCAATATGATTCTCTTCGTATTTCGAGATTGTTTCTGAGAATGTTGATATATTCTGTTGATATGCAAAACTGCATGTAATATGTAAAGCAGGGAGGAAGTTCGTGAGATTTCACTTTCCTGTTCGAGATAAAGTAAGCCAGTCTTTTTATGCGATGACGCAATTATTTACACATGCGTCATATACAAAGGACCTGTTTTTTTCCTTCTCTGATTGCATGGCAATTCTACTCTCTCCTTCTTTTTTTCCACTTTCTCTTTACTTTCTCCTCTTTCCTTGCCTATAATTATGTACTTTTCACTTTTTGGGTGGAGAAAAAAATAGCAAGAAAAAAAAATTTAAGAGTTAAGAGACTAAAGTTAAGAGTTTTTCTTCCACTTTAATACATCACAATATTAATAGACTTCTGTAATTAATTTTTTTAACGATATTTAAAATCTCGAAAGTTTTTATAAGGAAGAGTTAGTGTTTTATATGTATATATTTTTTTAATAACCTGTGAAAGATAAGATGTATCTCTTATAACTTTTTTCTGCGATTTTATTTTATGTGATGTTTTTCGACATTTAATAACTATTTGAAAACGTTTTTAATAACATCTCACAAACTTCCATATTCTAGTAACATGTTTAACAATTTGTGTAACAGCACAATCTAGTCTACGTTATAACATGCGTTTTGTAAATAATTATGTTCATGAATATTCGAAATATTAACGACGCAACAATGATTATGATTGATATTACATATATATAACAAGTCTTTAAATTTACATTCAATTTGTAATCACAAATTTATATACATCAATTTAAGTGTAGATCGACAAAATTGCTGATCTAAATTGAAGGAGGAATCTTCGACAATATTGTAATATATGATTTCAGCAATCAGAAAATAGGATTAAGGTTCGTCAATTTTAATAAACATATTTTTATTTACCACTTTAAACATTGTTTTTATTTTAAATTTCATTCTTATATAAAATCGTTGAATTGTTAAACTGAAAAACTGAAAAAACAATAATGAAACAGATAAAATATCTGATATCCTAAAAAATTAATTTTGATTTATCGGTTTGATGATTATTGGTATCAGATATAAATGATACTAAATATTTTAGATAAAATTTTCCTGTGGGAACTGGTAATTATTGAGAATATTCCCTTCCCCTTCATCACCACCGATTTTGATAAAAATTGACGCTCAATCGATTTTGCTCACGCGATTTTGCTCAAAATAAAAGAATAAAAAAGAAGCAAGAAAAAACGCGGCGTGCATTTGCCTCGTGAACCGAGGTGTTAAGCTATTCGTTTTTTTTTTTTTTTTTATTAATGTTCCCAGGCGGGAACAGATAAGTGTCTTCAACCTCCCTCGAGGATGACACCCGTTTGACCACGTCCCGATTGACCACTAGCCACTCACAGCGCTTGAACAGTAGAAAAATTCTAGATGCTGGCTCCTGTGAGTGGCTAATGGTCAATCGGGACGTGGTCAAATGGGTGTCACTCTATTGAAAATAGCGGAAAATTCGCGATTGGTCAGGTTTTCGATACACGCAATATGCTCCATGGGATGCGAAATTTACAATAATGGATTCGGCGGAAAAGCTGCGTATCGAAAATAGCGGAACGTCTGCAATTGATCAGATTTTTGATACGCGCGATATGCGCAATACACTCTATGGGATGGCACTACCTGTGTGAAGATAGCCCCCCAACATTGAAAAACATAAAATTTCTATAGCTCATTCGATTGCTCATCGTTTGCACATGTACGCACATTTCAAATTTTCGTTTGCACACTTCTAGTAAAAAAGTTATTAACAAAACAAATTTCGGGAGGTCATCTTCACACTACCTCCCAACTATGAGTAAATTAAATAAAAAATAGCTCCATTGATAGATATTCGTTTGCACATTGCCAAACAGGTCGATTTTTCGTTTGCACACCTCTAGTTAAAAAGTTATTAACAATTTAAGTTTCAGAAATAAGCGAGTTCGATAGATGAAGTGAAAACAAAAATATTGTGCTTAAAATGATATCAATCGAAAAGTTGTGGAGTTTTCATTCATATTCGATTCTTGTTAATTTCTCATAAATCTATTGCATTATATTTCTCGTTCATCTTTAATATCTGTACCTAAACGTTATATCTTGTAATAACTGAAAAAATTCGAAACTCGCTCGTTTCTGAAACTATAATTGTTAATAACTTTTTAACTAGAGGTATGCAAACGAAAAATCGACCTGTTTGGCAATGTGCAAACGAATATTTATTAATATTATATCAATTGAGCTATTTTTTATTTAATTTATTCATAGTTGGGGGACTAGCGTGAAGATGGCCCCCCGAAATTTGTTTTGTTAATAACTTTTTTACTAGAAGTGTGCAAACGAAAATTCGAAATGTGCATACATGTGCAAACGATGAGCAATCGAATGAGCTATAGAAACTTTATGTTTTTCAATGTTGAGGGGCTATCTTCATACAGGTGATGGCACTTTTATAAGCGTGAGTGCTTAATTTGGATCCTTATGCAGACACCAGCGCTTTGACACAGATGTTGATTGATGAAAAATAAGTAGTGATAAAATGGCGAATGAATCTTTACTATTTATCCCCATTATCCATTTTTCACCAATCAGCACTCGATGTCAAAATGCCGGTGTAGCATGAGGATCCAGGTTTACAGCGCATGAGCGTTAAAAACGAACGCACCTCCAGTGCACAGTGAAAAAAAAAACAAACCTATAGATATCGGAACAAAAGCCGGTTATCATATAATATCATATATCCAGTTCGATTAGATTCGGTTTTTGTCGGAAGATCCTTCGATCTATTAGTGTCGATCCACAATAGATGATTTAAGGGTCGGCAGGAGTGACGGGCTAACTTCGACTTGGGGTCAATCATGTAACTTTATGTAAAATTTTTCACTTTTCATTTTTTACTTTTTATTTTTCATTTTTCACACCTTGACATTTCACGTGAAATTTTTCACGTACAGCAATTATATATGTAGCTTGGATGCGTGGAAAGTGAAATTATGAAACATAGTTTCATAGGTTTTATAGCTAATGAAAATTATTTTGTTGGTACAGTACTTCATACATCTTTTAATAACCAATTGTATATGTACTACGTATACTTAATCCTAACGCAGCTCTAATCTTCTCTAATTCCGAAGCATATTTATTAATTCCCTAAATTTCCGCCTTTCCGTCACTAAAGTACTTGACGAAAAAGTTCACGTGTGAAAAATTTCACATTTTCACGTTTGAGAGAGTTACATGAACCCTCAAAATTGTACATGAGCGTAAGTTCACGTGAAATTTGTCACTTTTCACGTTTCTGTCTTAGGGGAAAAGTTACATGATCGACCCCTTGATCTACAATGATTATTTACTCCTTATTTACAGTGCAGATATGTATCTGTACTCAATTATATTT